CTTCAAATGAGTTTTATTTCAAATGATAATTTTAATGGGGTAAGTATGGATAAAGTTCTAGAGTGCAGGACATAATAGGCCAATATGCAAACATAAAAAAGGTTTAAAATAAATAAGTAAATACATTTTTAAAAAAATCCTACTTGTTAGGTCATGAACTAAAACATTTTCAAAAAAAGTTCAATATTAACCAGTAAGGAAAGTAGTAAAGTCGGACGGGGCCGACTATATGATACCTTCACCACTTGGGTATATTCAACCGATGAATCATAACAGACGTCGAATTTTTGAAGGACCACTAACATGAAAATCGATCCATAAACATGCCATTCTGCAACCTATACTAAATTTTTCATTTGGTCAGATATAGAAGCTATACCTAAATCTGAACCGTTTTCAGGAAACTTAACACACATCTAGACCTAATTCATTACGCTGTGTCAAATTTAGTGCAAGCCGAAAGATATTAAGGGACTTTGGTGCACCATTTACATTAAATCGGACGAAAATATATATGGGAACTATATATAAATCTGAACCGATTTTCAGGAAATTTAACACACATCATTCTAGACCTTATTTTGTTACGCTGTGGCAAACTATGGGTCTATCTCGTTTCCTTTTGCCTGTTACAAACATATGCACTACGACATAATACCCTGTACCACAGTGTGGTGAATGGTATAAAAAGAATTTTGTTGAAGAACCTCAAAATACCGAAAATTGGGGGTACCCTTATATGAGGGCTACCAGAAAAAAATTATCAATATTTATAATTTATAGTGGAGAGATTTGCTACCTAATAAGAACTCGACGTACTAAATTACAGTCTATTCGGTCGAAAAATAAGATCAGAACCCCCAAAATACCAAAAATTTTGGGGTACCGTTATATGGGGACTACCAGTAAAACTGGACCTATATTTATAATTTTTAGTGGAGTAATTTGGTACCCAATAAGAACCCAATGTACAAAATTTCAGAGAATTCAGTTATAAAACGAGCCCAAGAACCCGAAAATACCGAAAATTTGGGTGTACCCTTATATGGGGGCTATCCGAAAAAATGGACCTTTATTTATAATTTTTGGAAGGGAGATTTGCTACCCAATAAGAACTCAAAGTACAAAATTTCAGGGAATTCAGTTAAACGCGCTCAAGAACCTCAAAATACGGAAAATTTGGGGGTACCCTTATATGGGAGCTATCCCTAAACGTGGACCGATTTTCTCCAATTTCAATAGGGTTCGTCCTTGGGCCAATTAAGTGACCTGTGCCAAATTTCATCCAATTCGGATCATAAATGCGACCTTTACTTTGTTTACAATTTAACATGGACAGACGTACAGAAGGACATGCGTAAATCGACTCAGAAAGTGATTCTATGCATATTCTCAAAAGGAACCATGGGTCTATCTCGATTATTTTTGCCTGTTACAAACATATGCACAAAGACATAATACCCTGTACCACAGTGTGGTGAAGGATATAAAAATCGATTGAAATTTTAATAAGGCGGCTTCATTGACATTCTAAATTGTTGCCAGAAAAAAATGAAATACCAAAGTACAGGGACTCAGGTTGGAAAATTGGGATATGACCTTGAACATAAAGAAAATGTCATGAAATTATGTATATTGAAAATGTTATGTAATTAATTTTGCACTCACCAAGGTCGCGGAATGCCTTCGTATCACTTCGGTTGGAAAATGCGCCTAGATCTGTCAAAATATCTGTAAAGTGGTATTTTGATGATCTGAATGTTAAATGTAATTTTCAGTGGGAAAAAATGCATAACGACGCCTCCGAATAAGTCTGAAAAGTGAGTTTTTCAGCAGAAGCTCTCAAAGTATGGAAGTTTCTTAAATCTTACGTGCCATGCTAAGTACATTTTTGCTTATAACTTTGGCTTGGATTGACCGATGATTACCAAAATTTCAGAGAATTTAAATTAAGGACCATAGTATCTAAAAACGTAAAGAACTTTAAAACATGCTAAGTCGACTTAGCATACTATGGTTCGGAGGCGTCGATAAGTACACCTGTTGATGGTCCGATATTAGTTTAGTAAGGAATATTTTGCACACAATGAGAACCTGAAATATATTATTACAGCCAATTCGGTTTGAAATATTTATATGGGCGAGAAAAATGTGTTTAACATTCTCAGATTCTATCGTATAGTGGGTCTACCGTTATATGAGGCTATACCAAAACAGGGATCGATATTGAAAATTTTTTTATTGATACCCAATGGACGTGAAAGTGTTGAGAATCCCTAAAATATCGAATATTGGTGGGTACCACTAGTCATGGGTCACTATTAATAATTGTTTGTAAAGATTCATTAAAAAATATTTTAAAACAAGTAAAAACGCGTCAATCGGTGTTGCCGACAGATATATACCCCCAGACTATGGTTGGCAGTCTTCGGAATTACACACAGTTTTATTATTAGCTTTATATAAGAAATAAGTTTTTATTAAAGGGGTTTCGGATTTAATGGTGAAAAAAAAATTTATAAGATATTGATCATTTGTGAGGGAAGTACCGGAAGTAGTGGACTACTGGGTCCCATCTTCGAAATTGATATAGTTGGTAAAGGTAATAGGTTGTGAAAGGTTTGGGTCAAATCTGACATTCCATTCGCCTGATATTGCATTTTTAAATATTGAAAATGTTGACCATTCGTGGAGTACTAGAAGGAGTGGACCAAAAGGTCCCATCATTGGACTTAATCTAGACTTTGTAAAGATAATGGGTTTTGCCTCCATTCCATTCGCCTGATATTGGATTTACAAATATTGAACATTTTGACCATTTGTGGGGCAGATACCAGAAGGATTGAACCAATGGTTCCCATCTTCGGAGTTGATGTAGGGTTGGTAAAGATAATAGGTTGTGCAAGGTTTGGTTCAAATCTGACATTCCATTCGCCTGATATCGTATTTATAAATATTGAAAAATTTGACCACCTGTGTAGAAGGTACCGGAAGGAGTGGACCAATTGGTCCCATTTTCAAACTTGATCTAGGCTTGGTAAAGGTAATAGTAGGTTGTGCAAAGTTTGGTTCAAAACGGACATTCCATTAGCTTCATATTGGTATTATAAAAAAATGAAATTTTTGACCCTCTATGGGAGAGGTACCAGAAAGAGTGGACCAATGGGTCCCATCTTCAAACATGATCTAGGCTTGGTGATGATAATAGGCTGTACAAAGTTTCGTTAAAATCATTATTATAAAATTAATTTTTAGCACAATTTTGACCATTTTGTGGGGGAGGTACCATAAGGAGTGGACAGATATTCCCCATCTTCGAACTTAGACTTAGTTTGGACGAAACATTAAGATGTGCAAAGTTTGACATGTGTAAATCGACTCCAAATTTTCTGAAACGGATGTGATCCAAAGGAACATGGGGTCTAAAACCAATATTTCTATGAGGCACATTTTCCCCGTATCATTAGCCTAAAGGCTGAGGGTATAAAAATCTAAAATAGTCACAAAAAATATTTTTAAATCAAATATTCCGTGCTAATTTTGCTTTAAAATAATTTTCGACAAAATGCTGACCATTTGAGGTGGAGAAGGTACCAGATGTATTGACCGATATTTCTCTTCTGTGAAATTGATTATCGGTGTCAAAATTTTTTTTTTAATTCGAATCTACACTAATTCGACAATGTCCATACAAAATTCCAAGAAAATCTCAAAAACTCTTAAAAAAAATAGCCGATTTATTATGTCCGCATCAAGTGACGGCTAGAGGCATTCCCTCCTTAAGTTTGAAAATATGCAGTTTACAGTGTGAAAAGTTTGACTGAAACCAGACAGCCGCATATTTATCGACTCAAAATTGACTGATACGATGCGGCACATTTTAGACTGAAGGCATACAAATCTAGGCTCTGATAGAAGAAATATAATCTTATAACTAGTCATAGACTAAATCGAGGAAGATAAGTTTATATTTCTTCTATCAGAGCCTAGATTTGTATACCCTCAGCAAGTTTGTAATATTTCGGAAAATATGTCATAAGCTACATCAGTATGTTTTATTTTTATTTATTTCACTTGTTTATTAATATTTTATTGTACAATTGATAAGAAAAAAAAAAAAACAATTCATTTATAATAGTAAAACAAAAAAAAACTTGTACAATTTGTTAAAAAATATATATTGATTTTATGTCAATTACAGGTCAATGGAATATTTGTTATTCAACCAAGAATTGGTATATTTAATAAATAGTCAAATTATTCGATTATTTTCTGTATAAAAAAATATAAAATAAAAATATAATTTCCTGTATCATATATATAAAAAATGGATATGGTCATGTTAAATTTAATGGTATTTTAGATTGTCATTTTCATTTTAATACAATTAAAATGAAAAAATTACAATTTATGTTATGTAGTTGTTAGTTTATTTTAGTTATCATATTTATGGTATTATGGCCAAAAAACATACCCAGAAGGCAGATGTGAAGAGGAGAATCATTTTATATTCAAAGTCAAAATCTTTATGAACATTTTTTACTTTTGAAATTAGTTCCTTTCGATACATTTGCACTTCAACAAATATATTTCCCATACCTTCGAAAGATTACAACCAATATTTGTAAAGAATTTAGGTCATTGATAAAGAAAGTATACGGATTTTAATTATTGATGTTGATGTTTTTTCGTTGTCAGAGTCGTTGAATAATTTGTGTTTTTTATCGTCCTGTATTGTTGTTGTATTTATATACATAATACTAATTGAAACTAAAAATTAGTTTGTAAAAAGTTTGTAAAAAAAATTGGTCAGCATTACCCCTCCAAGATATGGAGAAGAGTTAAAGAAATTAAAATATTTCGAATATAAGTCATTGTACAATTCAGTAAAAAATAAATGTTGTCCAAATTATTAATATTTAAGTGATATACAATAATATTAAACAGACCTCCTGATCAACAGGTGATCCTCGAAAAAAAGTCATTTTACTACTTCTCTCTCACTGTCCAATAAAAATATTATATTTCTCCTTAGGAATATTATGTAGCTTACGTAAATGCTTTGTTACGGAATTACGACTGGCATATGCTTTGGAGCACAGCTTACACATATACGGATACAATTCTAAATGGGTATTTAAATGATTTTTCAATGTGCAAAACGATGCTAATGATTTTTGACAAAATTTACACATAAAATACCAACGACATTTATTGTGAGGAGAATAAGCTACCGCGTTGTTATCAACATGTCGTGGTATTTTATTCCAGAAATTATTTTCATACGAATGATAGACACCATTTAGCCACTGTGGACTTATATTTGTAAATTCTACATTGACATTTATATTACCAATGCCAGCGGGTACATTGGAAAATTTAATGCGTAAATGTTCAAATTTAGTTTGTGTTAATGTTTTTTCAATATATTCTGAATCGGGTGTATATTGGCTGGTAGTTCGTGGTAATGTTTCATAACCCGACGATGGAGCATTGGATGGTAAAGATGTTGAAGAGGATGATTGGCTGATGCTACTACTACTGCTTGACGATGATGATGTGGTGGTTTGTTGACTCTTTGTAGAGGATAGCTTAGAGCTGATTGAAGCGTATGTGGATGTAGACAAGGATGATGAGGATGCTGGTAATGATGACGATGCGGAACTAGAAAAGGAAGATGATCTGGAACAATATGATGTCGTTGAACTAACAGACCCATTTCTTTTGGACCTGTACACAGCTGTTGTGCGCTGTGAAATACTTCGTGTTACCACAACATTTCGGCTAACGTTATTAATACGTCGATTGCGACTTTGTGTTTGTCGCAAGGTGTAACCACTAACGGTTGTCCAAGAGGTCCTACCATTATCATTGTTTCTCTTAAAGCAATTATCATTTTTTCCTCGGGATATGTTTCTTAGGTTATATGAATTGTGGTTTACACAAGTGGTCTTTATGGGGAAAAGGGGGGTACTGGTAAAAACCATGACTATTAAATAGAAAAGAAAATCCACCTACCTTATTTTGTTGTTGATGTTGTTTGTGGGTGGTTACATTGTTAGTAGCATTGGTTGTTGTTGCTGTAGTTCGCAAAAGATTACTTTGCAATTTCAAATATTGTGAACGTAGAATCTATAAAATATTGGAAAAAGTTAGCAATTTATGAGAAATATGATTACAGCTGCAAAAACTTACCCGCATTTTGAAGCTGCCTACGATAATTTGCAAAAATCTTTCAATTCATCAAATTCAATTTCCATTCATAAATAAGTCACCTTCAAATAATAAAATCGAATTACACCATGTACCCGATTCGATCGAATATAAACACATTACGCGAACTACTTTTCGAACGCACACGACAATTTCACATTCAATATATTTTTGTCCAAAAACGAAAACAAATTGTAATAAATTGGAAATTGAATGAAATTAATTTTTTTCAGAAAATGACATGAACTGGCAAACTAAATACTATCGTCCAATGAAATGTATCAATTAAAGCGCCAATAACGGTTCTTTACTATAAACAGTGATGCCAATTATTTGTTGTGTGTGTGCGTAGTTTCGCCTACCTATTACACGGCGTAAAGTGTTGCTCATGGGTAAGGAAAATATAATAAGGTAGATACATCCACGGTATAATTATTACAAGGTAAGGCACAGCTACCAACTGATTACAATTTTTTTCTCAACGTGGCTTGTTCCATCAAATCAAAATACATATTTTGTGTATGTGTGCGTATTGTTTTGAATACTACGTCCAAGGTGTATTAAATAAGGTGTAAGTGACAATCATATGGTTTCAAAGTTTTTTTCTTCTTTGTTTGTGAATCTAATTGTCAAACATATTTTTGAAATATTTTTTGAAAATCTTAAAACTTTAAAACAAATGCGAAGATGAATAGTTTTTGGAACAAAGATTTTATAAATGTGAAGTGATCATTTCTTAACTTCCCAAAGAACCAAATTTAGAGCCCTGCCGCGAATCATTTCAAGCACTTACAACAGGATATATATTTTGTTTATGGGCTATAGCATGAATTTGTGGGAATTTTTACAAGAATTTGGCTCAAGGCTACCCACCGACAAAATTCCTACAAATAAAAAGATTTAATGCATAGGCGAAAATCTGAAATAGCAGCGAATGTTTACCACCCACTTCTATTTCTTCAGGTTTAGAAAGCAATATGTAGAAGTAATTTTGATTGTATAAGAAATTCAGTTGCACATCTTGCATTAGAATCTGTCGATGGCGAAGTTGTTTACCGAGGTCCAGCCAACCACCTCAATTTTATATTTAGATGTGTAGGTTCCAAGTGAAGTTGTCCACAAGATCCGGACAATCACCTCAATTTTATATTTGGAAGGGCAGCTTTGGAAGTCGATTTTCGGGTAGTACGCACCACGGCAATATAAAAATAATGGCGTTTCCTATCAGGATGGGTGCAATTTTTCGAACATTTTCTGGGTATGTTAATAAACTATAGTTCCGTTCCAGAACCAAAAAGAATCTACTCATTTTACATGTTTTGCAACTTTTTACTTGAAAACCGTTCCTTAACCCACAAAACTGGTAAAACATTGAATCAGATTTAAGAGAGCACAAAACAAAATGGCGTTCTCTTTGTAAACTTTTTACTCGAGAAATTTGGCCGAGTAAAAATGGTAAACGGAAATGCCATGGTATAATAATAGAAGGTAACAGCAAGTGTTGTTGTACAAAAAACGATACAACAACCACATGGAAATTTGTTGTTGTAAGTTCTACTAGTGTCAACTCATTTGACAGAAAAATGTAAACAAACAAACAAATTATCATCAAATTATTTTTATTTTGAAAATGAAATATTTTCGAATCCTCAAAATAAAAATTGAAAAATATGAATGAAAATCTATCAAATTTATATTTCTATCGCTTCCATATCTTTCCTATAATTGAGCCATTGCCATATATATGTGTAACACATATACAAATGCAGGGAATAGCGAGTTGTTCCTTGAAGAAAGATTTGCTTCCTCAAACTTTCCCAGCAGGCAGATTGAGTGAGTTGAATACGGGAGCACATTTAATAAAGAACAATTACAAATTGTATGCGTTCCCAATTTTCCTGTTGGGTGATTTTTAAAAACATAATTTGTCAAATTCATATTGACACTAGTATTACGTTGGAATCCAATCAGCTGGGACTTGCTGTTACCTTTTATAATTGTATCATGCGGAAATGCCTACTTCTGATTGGCTGTTATGTTGATTTTGAAGTATTGCCATCTAATTTTGGCATATTTACTAGATTTGCGTTCCCGAACTTTTCAAATTATGTTGTACTCTGAGAGCAATTTTGAAATGTTTCCCTTTTACTAGATTTACTATTAAAAAGTACTGTAACAGACCAAAAATTATCATATTTGGGGTTCTGAGAATTCTCAAGTAAAGGACTAAGCAGAATGCTCGTGTTACACAACAACCACAAGGAAACGATAACACAAACGATCGAAGTTGATGTGCGCTGCGTTTCGAAGATAAATATATTTTGCGTGCGTTAACGCGATAACAAAAAACTCTCAACGCGAACATTCTGATTAGCCCTTAACTGAGGTGAAGCTATTACATCTAGGTAAAACCACTGTTTGGTGCGCTCTTTGACCCGAGGGTGTGACTGGACCTTACTTCTTACTTTTCACCGTCAATTCGGAGTGTTATGGTCTATTTGCTTTCTGTTAAAGAACCCGACTTGAAGAATATGTGGTTTCATCATATGCCACACAACTCGGACAAGTATGACTTTATTTCAGGAGACATTTACAGAAGCTTAAAATTTCTTCGTGGCGATATTAACTGACCTTCAAGGTCATTCAATTTAATACCATTAGACTTTTTATGGGGCTACGCGATAGACCGACTCTCAATCATTTAGGTTAGGTTTGGGGATTTGCAGTCAAAAATGTGGCTCACTCATTGTGATCATCCATGAAAGATATGGAGAGATCTGTAGGGGAGAAAAGGGGATAGAAAAGATAAGAAGCTAACAAGGAAGTATGAAATAGTTTCGATGGCTATAGAAATTGGACAGAAAACATATTACGTGCTAAGGTAGCACTTTCCTAACCACTTTAAGTTGTTAATGATTCTGTAGATTAAAGCAGGTTTCATAGTTAAAAAGAAGTTTAGACACAGTGGAAACCGAGCACCGACTTGTCTGTGCCGTCTGTAGGCCAGGACTGGACAACGAAACAGGAGATGCTCAATTGTCTCCGTCTCCTCCTCGTCAACACAGAGTCTGCAGTAATCAGTAACATCATGTTCCCATTTACTGGTAAAGGCCCTAATATTGCAATGACGAGTAATGACCCCTGACATTAGTCTAATTTCAGCTTTGATCTGGTTCAACAGTGAGTTTGTTCTCTTGGTTGACAGAGTCGGCAAGATAGATATTGGCACATTGCACCTAGGTTCGTTGTGCCAGAGTTCATTGGCTCGTTCGAAGAGCGCCTCAACGTTCCGAAAAAGATGACAGATGGGTGGTTTGATTGAGCCAACGATTGATAGATCTATAGATTGATAGTAGCCAGCCTTCGGCTGGACATTTACGACTTCCTCCTATGGGCAGTTGGAAAATGGAGCTACGCGAGCAGAATTTTCTTTAAATTAAATTGTTTTTAAGTAGCCGGGCTTCGGTTGTAGATTTAAGACTTTCTTCTATGGACAGGTGGAAAAGTGGGGTAGGCTAGCAGATTTTCCTTTAATTTCAAATTTAACCTCAACCCTTACACTACATAAGACAAAGCGATATGAGAACAAAATGGGCTTATTTTCAAACATAAACATGGATAGTCCTATTTTCCTTTAACATGTCCGATGTAAACTATACCTAACACCTTTAATACGCTTATTGGCCTAAACATACCCTCAACATGATACGTCGTTGCGTTCGTACTATGGTTTATGTCCATGATATTACGCCGACTCTTAATTCCAATTAGAAAACGTTGGCAACCCCCCTTTTCTTATATGGCAATCACTTGGCAACACTAAACCCTTCATCGTTTTCCAACACTACTACTCATCTTCATTTTCTTTTGTGTGGTTTTATATTTGTCGGGATCGGGATCGGTGTTGAGAGTTTCTCTCTCTTGAGAGAGTAATTAGAGTTGCGCTATTTTTAATTTTGTAACAAGCGTACTTTTTGTTCACAAAAGATACGAATTGACATAAACGTACCAAAACAAAAATTATATTTTTTATTATTCGTGAATACATTTACGCTTAAATTATAACATATATTATTTATGCAAACAACTGGTATAAATATTGGTCAATATTTCTCGATAATTATGATTTATTATCATTTGAAGTATAATTTTAGGTACCTTTTCGTACTTTTTTGTTCCTACCTGTGGCAATGTTTTCCAACACAATTCACAATTTACCACTGAGAGAGAGAGAGAGACTCTCAACACCGATCCCGATCCCGGCAAATATAAAACCACGCTTTTCGGTGTAAACATTAAACCCCAATTTTATAATTTTCACTTTTCAACAACAAATGGAATAAACAAAACGGGGTGAAAGACAGTGCAAAGCGAATGCCGCAATAACAGAAAAAAGATATTCCGTTCAGCAGTTAATGGCATTCCAATTTGTTTCATTTGTGGTTTGTTTGGGAAGTGCTGTTTGGAGAGAAAAGCTTGATACAACAAACAAACGAATGAAAAACAACAATTTCTGTACGGTTGCAAATTAATTGGTATGAGTGCGAGTGGATGTGTGCTGCGTGTGTTTCTGTATGTGGAAGCAGGCAAAATTGTTGAGGAAAGTTGCAAAGGAATTTTGTGAGGAAAAGAAAAGACAACATCTTTTAAGTGAACATTCGGTGACGAATTTTCGGCAAGTCTAGCAGCGGTAAGCACCGCTTATATTCAGTGGATGTTGGGAATGAAATAGAATCAGCCTAGAATATTAGAAAAAAAAAACAAAAACTGCCGCAGCAATTTGAAACGCAATTTTTGTGTGTGTCGCAACAAACATTAGTGCTTCTTTTGAAAACCAAACAACAAACAAGGGGCGCGCCCCATTTCTGAATTTGAAAGCAGAACCGAAAAAAAAAACAAGAAGAGAAGATACTGACCGACCAACCGACCATCCAATTGATATACATTCGCCGCCGTGTTCACTAGTGTTTCGGTAAAGAGTGTTGGCTGGTTGAATCATTTCATTTGGCGTTGTGTCTTCTGCCGCTGGATTTTTGTTTTAGCTGCTGCCCTGTTTTCTGTGTGTTGATTTCATTTTGTCTTCTCCTCCATTCCATCTTTGTTGCTTACAGTTAGCACCAGCAGCAGTCCATCCAACAAACTAAGAAGTGCTAACATTTCATTACTAATTGTAGGCATATTTTAGTGTTTAATCACTTTTGTGTAAGTATTCTGGAATAGTTCAACAAGTTGTGTTTGATCTACAATGAAGTTTTTCTTTACAGGTTTTCCATTGGCAATAGAATTTACAAAATGACCGGTGAAATGGATGCTAAAATGAAATTAAAACGTTATTGCTATCTGGGCGGATTTGAACCGGTGTATGTCCACTTGAGAGGATCGCTGTCTGTGGAAAAATATTGGCCTTTGGTTTCCGAACTGATCAAAGGTTTAGATGATAGCGTAATGTTACCATTTTTCAAGGACATCTTAAATGATCACACACTTATACGACGTGATGAGGTATGTTTGTGTATGTTTATCGTTTGTGTTAATCTAAGAAAAAGAAAAAAAAAAAAATAGTTTTAGCACTAATTAAAAGGAGGGATCATATGATTTGACCTATTTTTGCCTTCTATATTTTACACGGTTTATGTCCCTTACGTTAGTGTTTCCATACGGCATTAAGCCTCGTATGAAATATATTACAATTAAATTGCTAAATTTGAAGTAGCATATCCTTAAATAACCGAGCAATTCTAAAAACTATTGATACCGCCTTCGGTTCGAAACGAATTTTCATGATGATGTGCAGACGGATGGATGGACACAAACCTTCCTTAGTGTGCATCTCAACATTTCTTTTCTACTTTAGCTTGTAGTCAAGGACTGCTCCAAGGTATTTTGCTACTAAGGAAAGGGTTAAAGTTACTCCACCCAAAGATGGCAGGCGGAGGTTTGGGATCTTGCCCTTCTTTGTGAAGAGTACCAATTCTGTCTTGGTGGATTTTAAGCCAAGAACATTACCTTGGGCCCAGTTAGATAGAGTTGATAAGGCACCAGAGATGGTCCGTCAGAAACAGCGACGTAACTGACATACATTTTAGACGTATAATAAATACGTCGGAAACCCACCAGAAACATTAGGTTTTTGACAAAATATCTATTTCCATTAAATAATTTGGAAATTACGTACGGTTTAAAAAAATCCATACACAATTTCTAAATTTTCTCCTCCAAAAAGTTTTAGAATTTTTTTTATCAGTTTTATATATATATATACATATGTTAAAATAAAGTATATTCTTGAAATTAACTGCTTATGGTAATACGATTCAAATATATGAAGTTTACTACATTTATTACATTTTATACACGTATATGACGTTTTCGACGTTTACTCCTTTTTGACAGTCGAAAACATAAAAAATCGTCACACGGACCAAAGCAAACTGCATTATATCAGAGATAATCGACAGAAATTTCCCGCGGACGATGTGATCCGAAGGATGCCCATGTAGGGATCCTGGTTACAACTGTATACTTTATTCTTGTGGAAATCGGTATTTCCGGAGGTATGGGCCTTTGAAAGTATTGTATTTTCTCATCATTTTTTAAATTTACTAATGCAATGTTGGTATCAATTTCAATCGTTTGATAGTATACCATTGTAATCAGCGGACCAAGGACTATATGCAGTAAAATTTTCAAAACGATCCGCAAGGTGCCCTAAGCTGTTCATCTCCGCTGACTAACAGGTCTACACCGTCGGAGAGAGAGGTGTAGTAACATTTTTAGTGTCTTGATTAGAAAGGAAGAAAAACTAATCTTGGTCTGTAGCCCTTAGATAGAGTGTGACTTTTCGGGATAAAGGTTACGGTTACCTCTTTCAATAAACTTTGTGTGTACGATAAAACCAGAAACACGCAACAAATGCCATGTTCCCTAGTTCGAACCATATGTCGACGTATTTGTTGCACATCACCATTTTGATCCATACAAACAGGCATACAAATATCAAGAGTCTCTATTCCGGAGTTTGCTCACGTACCATCAGTTCGCTTAACACTACCTATCGATTTGGAACCTTAGATATTACTCTGCGAAATCTGCTTCGTTAACTCCTTCCCTGTCTACGTGAAGCAGAGCTGAATGCTAACGGCGCGTCCACAGGTTGTGGATAGTGGGAAGGCCAATAAATTAATAATCAGTCGCGGCCAGCGGGTATGGGGGAGAGTGTCAGAAGAAATGACTGCGCGCCTATGATCCCAGGACTGACCAGACGCCTTCAAATATTTAATTCCAAGGTCTAACAAATTGAGATGCTGTTTTAACATCAAACTTATCCCAGTTTGTCCTCCGGGGTTTTCTATAGGGTTTCAGTTTTACTCTAGAGGTGAGAATATGGAATAATATCCTGTGGTCCGAAAAGTAGTATTTTGTAGATACATTCCAGTTCCTAACCCCAGAATCGTTCATGTTTGAAAGGGTGATGTCTATTTATGAACGTCGATATGTTGCCCCTTTTACATATCCTCAGGCGCCTCAAAGACGAAATCAGGCAAGAACTGTGAGGGGTCACGCGTTACCCGTACTGTGGCTCGTGTACTGTGGCTGAAATTTAAAAGAAGCATCAAATGTAGTTATTTTTTAGCTAATATACAGATTATTTTCTGGATGCCTTTCTAATGGCTCTCCCTCGGTCCGACTTTGATATTACCCTGCCCTCGATACTATCTTGGCCTCCTTCGTAGTGAAGGATGGTGAAAGGAACTTCTCAGCAATCAGAGATCCCGTAGAGGTATCAGAAGTCCCCACCATTATCGTCCCGGTTATGCTAAGACTAATAACAGCCTTCCGTCCTTTGGAGCGGCTACTGTGGTCGACTTGAAACGTGACATAGGTATTCTTTTAATTAAGAAGAAACTCGCAATGTCATTCGGATAGTTGCGAGATAACTTTCGAATGGATTTGAGGTTGCTCTTAATCAGAACGAATCCCTTGTCGTTTATAGAGTCCTGTCCCGTTCGATTATCCGGTTGTAGAATTATCTGCTCTCCGGCATTTTTTGTGGTAGTTTCCGGTGTTAAGGGAAGGTCATCAGCATCAGCCTCTACATCCACGTTCATTTGGCTTAGAAATCTCGAAGCATAGCATGGATTGCATCTTTCTCATCATCGTGGAAGACTTACCTTGATTTAGAGCAGTCACTAGGTTAGCCATTATGTTAATCACGATGGTATCCATAGCATCTATCTCGTCTGTCAATGGTGTGTCATCCCAGAGATGAGTCGGTGGGATACTCTCCTGACTAAGGCGGAGGGAGCCGGTTTCCAAAATAAGTTCGCGAGTAAGGTCCGTATACCTCTTTAGGCTTATCTTGACATCAATTTATGAAAAACTCAATATTAATAGCGCTCAATCTCAAAATGGGCACGATTTATTTTTGCTTATAGATTTTTTCGCTGAAATGTCTTTTGGGTTTCAATGAATAGTAGTCCTCCTCTAATAAAATATTCTTTCTGACGTGTAAACTCTATCCGAAGAAGAAAAAAACTTAATTTCCTCATGTATGTTATTTACCTTGAGGGGACACCCAGTTGTAGTTTCTGAGGTATGCGGCCCACATCTGAAAATGCTCGAATATAACACCAAGAGTCTTGGGACTTATGAGAAAAATTGTGTCCCATCCGCAGTTCTACTCATTGTATGCCTTATTATTGTTTACTTTTTGATCAAATCCAAAAACGTTTAACTTTTTGGGGAGCTTTTTTTAATAAAAATACTTTATACCTACATACATTTAATTCGCAAATTTTCTATTTCAGATACTTTTTGTGTATGCCTCATATTTGGCCGCCGATATTGACATCAAATGGAAAACAGCAATGCGTATAGCATTCCCTGCACTCGTACACAGCGATGACGATCTATTTCTCTTTTGCAAATACGCACTACACATTGCTAAATTAGAAAATCACAAAGGATTTTCAAGAACAGTGCGCAAAGCAATTACAGCGTGGTATGAAATGCGTACCCCCGAAGCCATACGAACAATGTGGATGTGTCATCGTGGTTTACATGGATTAACACATAAAGCTCTGATTAAATTATGTCATATCTCAGATGGTACAATTGGCTCACCAGAAGTGTCGACATTGTTCTTTAAAACTTGCACTGAATTGATAAATGAATCGGAACAACAAACAGAGACGACAAAAACAAATGGTGAAACAACAAAGGCAGCAGCTGAAGAAGAAGGAACATCAGAAAAGCCAACAACAGTATTAGGCACCACCGACTCGAATGCTAATGAAACAAAAGTAAATGATTTGAATGCACAGCCGAATGTTGCTGTCCCCAAACCAGCTGCCTCTGCATCAGATTTATGTATGGCCGTATCAAAGTTACGCATCACCAAAAAGAATCATGATGCTTTGAAAATTATTCGCAAATATAAACTGCCGTACCATCAAGTTCCTGGACACTTTTTGAGTTATGCCCCCATTATGGCTCAGCTGTTACCCAGCATGCCATATATTCAGGTATTAAAGTGTTGGCGTCGTATGGCTAAACATAAACATTTTGAAAATCAACGCATCTTCAAGTTGTGCAAATCTCGCTTGGAGAACAAGGAATTGGCACGCAAGACCAACATTCATCCGGTACAGATTTTGATAAATATGCACGATATTGGTATAGTTAGCGGAGATCTAACTAAATTACCCAATAAAAAAGTGGAATCATATAAAATGCAATATTTGGATCAATTGTATCGTGACTCATTCCAATGGCAATCGGGTTGCGGAAAGCTTCGTATGCATATTACATTGAATTTGCAAAGCAATTATAAGAAGAGTAAGTGTGGATTGACCTATTTCTTCAGTTATTTTGCTAATGCTGTTGTTGTACCCCTTCATTTTAGAATTCTTAAAGAATCATCGCAAATTGACCTACTACGATGCTTGCTTGGCTCTTGCCTTTGGCTATTCGAAGCGTGAGGCATTGGTGGATGTTTTCCATTGGTATGAGGATAAAATGAAATTGAAAAAGATTATCTACGATAAGAATGCGACAACACATTTGGGTTTTACTGCATACGATGTGGTTGAGGTTGGTTTCCTAATTATTTGGTTATGTTTTCTTTTTTGGGATCTAATAAACTTGTTTTTCTTTCTATTGTTTAATTTTTTGTTTTCAATTTCCTTTTTTCAGAATCAAAAGAACAATCAACGTTTAGTCACCCCTATTTTGAATGCTATGTCAAGCCAACAAGTTTATGATGTATTTTTGTGTATTGTTCCAACGGCTGGCCGTTGCAATCCAAATAAAAATTCCGAATTTTTATGCAAATTTTTGGATAAATATCGTCAAACGAAAAATTCCAAAGCAAAGTGAGTACAAAGCATTATTTATGTGTAATAAATCATAATGTACATACATGTGATGGGGTGAATTCCAAATATTTTCTTGAAATGTTGCTGGGAAATATTTTTAAGTTGCAAGCTATTTAAATTAGATTAATGAAGAATAAGCAATATTTAAAATGTCCGTTTTAAAAATACATAAAAAATATAATGCAAACAATCCAGGAGTTCTTCAGTGTCAATGTCTGTCACTTCTGTCAGTAACATGACTGTCGCCTTAACCCACTCTGCTACATAATCACATTTAGTTAGTCGCTCTTAGCCTTTACATCAATGGATCAAGAGCCAAGATGCGCGCGCTTAAATTCTGCCCGCAATTCGTGTTATCTCCTGCAGTCAACAATAATTCCTCAGAAGAGCGAGAATAAGTTGCCTCATGCTGCTACAGAGCAATATCCAGGGAGTCTTCGTCCACGACGTCATCTTCTTTGTCGGAGTACGGAACTCCACCGCAGTCTCCTCAACAGCAGCCCAATATGCAGCATTTAACATCACATGTTGCTGTTCCTACTCCTGACAGTGAATCATTTCTGCAATTAAATTGCAAAGGTCTTCGAGGAAAAATAGACGAGACAGTTGAAATCATGAATCGGAAGAATACATCGGTCGCGGCGGTGCAGGAAACCAAGCTCAATGGCAATTTTAGCCTTAGTGATGATTAAAACGTTCTGAGGAAGAATCGCACCAGAAGTAGAGGTGGGGGCCTAGTATTGCTTATACAAATCTCTGTTCCTAACTCGCTTGAGCTAGACTCTAGTGACCCATACATGGAATATGTGATATGTGGTAAATGTGGTACTATCGAGGTAGAGGTGTTTAACGTAGCAGTAATTGGTCTAACAAATGAGCGTGATGAGCTCCGTCAATGTAATCCAGCAGATCCCACGGTCAGGGAACTCGCGTTGGAGGTCAGCAAATTAGTTGTGGAATAAATGCTTGGAGCATCTGAGGGGTTGCAACAACGTAACCGATGTGAAAAACTATGGACAACGGTTAAGTCGCTCTCGAACCATGGTAAGAAGGATGAACATTGCCTCAGTCACATTTAAAGACGAAACTTTGACTGATCCGAAGAGATGCCCTAGCATTTTAACCGCCAGTTTGTCGAGCATCCCTGGAGCGACAAGTCGAAGCGAAGGGTACTACGTCGTAAAAGATCTCTTCCCGCAGAGGAGGTACCACCACAGTTTACATTGGGTGATCACGTTGGTGGTCAGATTAGTCGCGGAGCATAAGCGAAATAAATGGTTGGAGCATCTGAAGAGATGCAACATCGGAATCGGTATGAGTTAAACTGTGGACTGGTTTAAGTAGCTCTCGAACTCTGGTAAGAAGGATACATTTAACGACGAAACTGTGACGGATCCGAAGAGATACGCAATTTATTTTAACCGACAGTTTGTCGAGCATCCCGAGAGTGAAAGGGCGAAGCGAAGAGTAAAGTGTCGTATAAAATTTGTCCCCGTCGAGGAGGTACCTCCACAGTATACAATTGGTATTCACGTTGGAGGTCAGACTAGTCGCGGAGCATAAGCGAAATAAATGGTTGAAGCATCTGAAGCGTTGCAACATCGGAACCGGTGTGAGTAAACTGTGAGCAGAGGTGGTACCACCACAGTTTACAATGGGTGATGATGTTGCATGTGTCATCCGTGGAGCTAAGTCGCATAAAGCGTTGGGCGGTTATACTGAAACAGCTGGACGAGCCCGGAGTTGAGCACCTGACCAAAGTCCTCAATCTGTCGAAAACCACCCACATCGTCCCCGAATCCTGGGCAATGGGCAGGATACCAGCAAAGGTAAATCATACAGGCCGATTTCACTTTTGTCACCAGTAGCGAAGACTCTTGAGGTATTACTCCTCCACAGCATTTGGGAAAGGTATCCAAAAGCCTTGGATACAGTCAATCATCCCATATGAGGACGTCGACAGCATATTATCCACAATTATATATGTGGACGCCAGTCGTACATGGTGTTCCGGAATAAGAAGTTCAAACCCCGTAGAGTGAATCAGGGAGTTACTCAGGGTTGAGTGGTATCTCTGGAACTGTTTAGCCTCTACTTTTGTGGCATTCCACTCCTTCAAGACGGCATTGAGATCGTTACGTATGCAGAAGATTGTACGATCAAGGCTTCGGGTGCTATGGTTGAGGACAAATGAGTAAGGTTGAACGCCGATTTAGCAGCCTTCTTCCACGTGAAGAATATGGAAATATCAGCCACTAATCAGAAAGAGGTCCAACCTAATAAAAGGTAGCCTCTAGATCAAGTTGCCTATCGTGCAGGTCTAAATAGCATTCTCACATCGCTGAATGAATGTAGAGTGAATTCCGTTCGACCCATTGAGCTGAAGAACGTCAGCTGCCCAGACAAAACAGAGTAGTTTTGAGCCAATTACGTCCAGGATGGTGCAGTCATCTTCATTAATATTGGTCACGGATTAATGATCACGTGCAGAATATATGCCCGGCAGTTGTTACAGACCATCACACCACACTGCACTTATTCAATAGTCCATCATTCGGAAATATTTCAATTTGCATGCTAATCGGGTGTTAAATAGTGAGCTAAATATAAATCGATTTATTTATTTCAACTTCCAATGTCCAATTTTTTGCGAGTTGGTATCGGTAACCCTTTTCCTGTGACCATTTTATTGATGCGGACTGGAATATTATATACTCATAAAAAGTTAATCGGATTATAATGCATTAATAAAAATTGTAGATATTTCTTCAGCAAAATTGCTAGTCCCTGACTCCCATCGACAACAGGAAATAAAATATATGTCTCAAAAGTATTGTAGGAAACGTTGACTAATTTTCCAATAAATCACTTTTAATATCAAAATGGAATTTATTTCTTTTTTAGGTTCATCATATTGGATTTACTAAGATTCAAACCATCTATGACATATTCTCAAACACGTAATGAAAACATATTGGAAATTTGTGGTTTAGATGAGCATACACCGGAACTAATACATAATTTTGCAACCCATCGTTTTGAATAAGAAAATGGCAAGGCAGGAAATGAAGTGATGTTTGAAGAATGAAGGTATTTGAAAACGATAAAAATCGAATATTTAAATATATAAAAGAATAATTTTAAAAACTCTTATAAAATTTAAAACAAAACAAAAATATCTATTATGCTTTTTTTCTTCTTCTTCTAACAAATTGTTCTTGTGCTAAACAATATTTAAGAATAAATATTGGAACATGCATAGAAGAAGAAAAATATATATTAAAGATAATAGAAAGAAAGAAAGAAACAAACAAACAAAAACTAAACTGAGATTTAAAGAAAGAATTGAAATAAGAATTATTTTTTTCTCCTTATAAATGTATAAGAATTAATTTAAGTTTTTTTATTATTATTGATTTTGTTTTTAAGTTTTTATTAGTATTACATTTACATCATATTAATAACTCACACACACAATCACATCTACACATAACTACTCAATACCGTAATATGTACCTTTTTTACTAATTTCTGTTGAAGAATCTCCATATTTTTTTGTGTGTTTAAAACAAACATTTCGAATAAAGTTATATTTTTTTGTTACTGAAACATTAAATTATAATTAAAAAAATCAAAAACATATTCTCTCTCTATATATTTATTTAAACCATATGGATGCTAAAGAAACTTTGCCTTAAGAAAACAAAACAAACAACAAATACGTACAGTACCGAAACAAATAAAACGAAATTTCGAAGAAATAAAATAACAAAAAACAAAATTACCGATATTAAACAGAACACCGCCAATAAACAGAATCCTGCAAAAACTAAACGAAATGTTAATGTATTATTAATTATTTGTTTGTTCAAAATACACAAACGTCAAACGATTGAATCATACATATTTTGAGGTTTATTATTGACAGAAAATCTTAAAATTTTGTTCTAAACAAAATTAAAGAAAAGCAAAAACAAGTTTCTAAAACATGCGCATACCAGTACACAGATAAAATAAATTTAATTTAAGTAATAAAAGTAAAACTAGTTAAACTAAATTATTATATAAACAATCTTCCACATATACAATATATACATACACACATATATAGAACTGTTGGTCTGGACTTATAACTAAAATTGAATACAACAACAACAAGCATTTTATAGGACTTTTTCCCCCCAACAGACTATTTGGAATTTTAAATTAGATTTTATTTATTTGTGTTAATGTCAAACTATTTAAATTAGGTAGTCGTATATCAACAACAATTAAATGTGTGTTAAACAATAGAAGTATTGAAAGTATAATTAAAAAATCAAGTACTAATTAATACAAATTTACTTTATTAAATCGGCCATTACATTGGGATATCACTTAACATTATAGTTCTATCCTGACACACATTAATTTTGACCACAAACTTGCACGCAATATCCAACCATCACATTCATTACAATTCTGGATATATAACAAATTAAAAATGAACAAACACACAATTTCAATAACAAAATTCCAAACAAAAATAAAAAACTGCCTATCTTATGAAAATCATAGAATTAAACCCCAAAATAATATTATATCTGGAAACCATACACTCACTCGAAATTATATAAAAAAATAAACGAACGAAAATTAAAAAAACGACAAGCAATATTAACGAAAAAACAAATTAACAATTTCTGGGACAACATATTTAACTATAAACAAATAAGAGAAAACTTAACAAAATAACCCTACTCTAACAGTTACAGACTAACAACAACAAATACAATAAAACTAACAAAATTTTAGCCAAATTTTTAAAGCAAATAACAAAAAAATTAACCATAGTTTTTACAAACCAAAAAACAGAAAAATAACAGCAAAAAATATACGACTTATCATCTTAACTGCCTTTCTAAGTAAAATTAACGAAAAATTTAAAAGAAAATAGATGAAATTATTTATATTATTGAATTATTTTGAGTTTCCTAACAAAATAACATAATTAGACAATTTTGATTGTGCCATTATTAGTAAGTTTTTTTTTGTCAAGATACATGTTTTATAATATTATTACAATAATTAAAAATGAAATTGGCACCCAAAATAATGAAAGTTCAAGATAAAGATTTTTAATGTACGTTTTTGTGTTGGCTGGCTATACTTGGAAGAAGGGTACAATAACGACGAAAGTGAAGTAGCGGAATAAGTACTTGAAAATGTCACATTGCATTTTAAAATTTTTTACACTTTAAATGCTTTAAATATTTAATCAATGTTCCCTTACGAGCTTTTATTGAGGACCAAAAAATCAATCATTTAGCATTTTTACAAGAAATCGACTAAACTTTGAATACATATTTCCTATCCACTTTAGCTAATTTCACATTTTTTATTAAAAAATATTGGATAGTTTTTTGACAAATGCCCGCCTACGAAACACTGTTTATACTATAGGAGTTTGTGGGAATAAAAAGATCAGCATACATTTTTGTGGGACCTTTAAAAACATAATATGCTTGTCCTTAAACCAAGTGGAATGATTTCCATTTAAAAAATGGTCAATTGTCAAATTCAAAAATACGATTTCACCGAAAGTTTTTGAGATCCTCATTCGATTTTACGGAAGAAATGTAATCTCAATCAATACCTTCAGTAGCCACAAATCCATGTATAATGGGATCGCCAGCAAAAAAAACATGATAACGCCATGTCTCCAAACTTTGACCTATATCGAATTTTTACTTCATGGGTTTTCATATATTCACCAATAGCCATTTTTGGCTCCCCAGACCATGGCCTCGATTTTGACGCATAGTGTTATAAAGCAGTGAACGGGGCCATATCCTACACAAGTAGCACTGAATTTTCTGTTTCTAGGGATTTTTATATTTCGAGCCTGGGAAATATTTCGTCGTATTTACACTCTCGATCGAATAGGGGTCAACAGCTCCTAGGCAATACCTTTTCCGAATAATTCCTTTTCCAGGAATAAAAACTTACTCCATAAGATTAAATTTTGTTATTTTACAAAAAAAAAAATCATCTGAACCGTTAAATTTGACCGGGTTAAATATTATCAAGACAGTCATTCGAATTAGTTGGTCAGATAGCCTTCCCCATGGGCAATTTACTATGTTCTTCTAGAGTGACTAGAAAATCGGATAAAAATAAAATTTTCGGAAAATTTCATTACCGAAATATCATCTGATCATCATCGAAAATTATAGGCTTTGTCCTTGACCCTTGACTAAACAATATCAGAATACGTTGACCCCTGTAAATACATACGTATAAAAATTACCATGGATTGTACTTATTCTTCGAGACTTGTTGGCAGCCTTTTCGATATCAGTCGTGTTGTAACTTCCCAAATAAGATCCCGACGTTTCTGGCGGGTCACGGGTATAACAATTTCTGCACCAACGAACTTGACGGCGTCTTGTATTTTCATACCCTTTGCCACACTGTGGTACAGGGTATTATGTCTTTGTGCATATGTTTTTAACAGGCAATAGGAAATGATATAGACCCATGGTTCCGTCCATGTTAAATTGTAAGCAAAGTGCAAGTCGCATTTATTATCCGAATGAGATGAAATTTAGCACAGATCATTTATTTGCCTATTAAAATTGGTAGAAATCGTATCCGATTTAAATTTAGCTCTCATATATAGTTTCGTCCGATTTTTTGAAAATTGTGCACAAAAGGGTCAACGTTAGACCGTTTGGTATGAAATTTTGCACAACGTAGTGAAGTTAGAATGATACATAAATATGTACATAAAATCATTATCTTGAACTTTCAAAAAACTAACTAAATACTGTTTCTTTATAAATTATAAACTTGTATTAAAATTCTAAAAACAACAACAACAAAAATACTTGAATGAAAATAGAAAACAAAAATATTTGATATAGAAAATAGAATTAAATTCAAAATTTCAACCAAATCTGTGAGTGAAAATAAAATTGTGATCCACAATAAAAAAAATTATAACAAAACTAAAATACTTAATTCAATTTGATAATTGTTAAACAGAAAACAAAATTGAACTAGTTTATGTTTTATAATTTAATTTTTATTTAAAAAAAAAACTGAAAAATGAACTTCAATAGCAGCTAAAAGCTGTTTTTATTTAGTATTTTTAGTATTTTGATTTTTAATAATATAATCAGTTTACAATAAAAATGAAAAAAAAAACACACACAAAACACTGAAGGAAAATAACTAAATAAATTATTAACGATTAATTTTCAATAGAATAAAATTTGAAAAAAATATTTATGTTAATTAAATCATTATTAATTAAATACACACTCAGTAAGGAAGAAAAAATATAAGCAACTGGAACAAAAAGTACCTTTTCAAGAAACAAAATTATACTCGTCATGCATCATCCACATACCTACAATAATAAAAAAACAAACTGAAAAAAACCAAATTAAATAAAAAACAACAACATAACTCCTCCTTTAGATTGAAAATTCTCCAAAAAACTAACAAAATATATACATAGCAAAAGAAACCTAAATAAATATAAGTATTGAAAATTGTTTTTATATATAATTTTTTTTTAATTAAATTAAATACACACAAAAAGTGTTTTACCCACCACCCCTCAAACTTTTTCCCCACACCCACACACACAATACTACAAATCGCAAAATCTTAAACCATAGAATAAATTATTAAAAACTGTTATTTTTGTGTGTTTAAAAGATGAAAATGTTTTTGTGTAAACAATTTGTTGAAAAGAAAAATCACAAAAAAATAGTAAAAATTGAAAATATACAAAACATTCTGCAAATAAAAATATATCAATATGTATATAGAACATGGGCTGAAAAGTAAAGTTCATACAAATTTTTTGGTATTTTTTAATTATATTTAAATAAAATTATATTATATAAAAATTAAAATTATTTAAAAAAAAAACAATTGTGGCATTGATCATGATGGACATCCTATTGGCTTTGCGACTTCTTTTGACGGTCCAGGGTACAGATTTTTTGCTTCCTTTTCGTTTCGACCAGTCCCATATTGCCGGGAAGAGGAGAT